GTATTTTTAATATTTATCTATTGAAATATTGTTCTGTACCATCTAAAATATTACTATTATCCTCCACACTAAGTGTCCACAACACCTAATGTTTTTTAAGGCACAAATACACATATTACTTTTGTGTAATAAAATAATGCTTTATGAATCTCAACAACAAAATGCCTTTAATATCAATTTAAGATAGAACTTGAGGAAAGAGAAAAATTAGGTATTTTTACAAAATTCATTTAAGTGACTGCTTTTTTTCTTCATGAAGCAAAAATGTAAGCTGAGTTTTCTAGGAAAGACAGTAGAGAGGAGACAGAAGTGAATGACCCTTTATGTCTCTTGATCTGTGGTATGAAAATTATCCTAAGCTGTAAGATTCCCAAGAAAACAAACTATAGTAATGGGGAAGAGGCTAAGCTTTGCTTACCATGGGCTTCCCCACCCACCTCTCCCCACAACTTTTCCCATAAAAAGCAATTTCTGCTAATAAAGCATCCTTTACAAGTCGCTCCCTAAAGGATCCTATCTCTCCTTGAGTGCTTACCACAATCTGATTTCTGGACAGCTGACCCAAAGTTTGTTGATTTTACTGATCTTCAGAAAGCCACTGACTGGCTAAAGTCTTATTGGTGAACAGAGTCAAAAATCAGATGCCCCTGCCATACTTTACAGAATGAGGAGTTGGACAACACAGTTACGTTTGGCTGCACTGTGGTGAAACATATGAGGTATCTTCTTTTTGTCTTCAATCAGCCACGTTTGGGCTGGGTAGCTCTATTACATCTTCAAAAAACTGAGCTCCAGTTCTTGATGGAGACAGAGGAAGGTCATTGAGGAGGTGGTTCAGCTCAAGAGCTAAGTGAAAAATGTCTTTTGATTCAGTCCTGCTTGTGGATAGAAGTCATCTTCTGGATGGAAGAGGGAGTGAGATGACCTAGAGTCTTGAATTGGTGGATCTGCAGGAACAGAAACTAAATACAGTGGAGACCTCTTAACTGAGTAACACCACGAGATGGATTTCCTGACAATGTGCCAATATAAGCTAAGTATAAAAATTAAACATGTGCACCGTAAGTGATCATGCACTTGTTTTTCCAGATATCAAATGCATTTGTACCATTTTATGAATAAATGTTTTCTCAATAACTAATTATAAAACAATTTACAGAAAAAAGTACCAATTTAAGGAAAGAAAATAGACCCACTCAAACAAAAACCTGTATACTTTGCTTTCATGAGTCCCATATCCTCACTTTAAAAAGTCAGTTCTTTCGAATGACTTTTTCTGCATATACACAAACTATAATCTGTCTATTCCATATATAGTGTCAGTAGGAACATACATCAAATTTTAATCTGAGATGGATCTTTTAGGTTTTTTCATCTCCTAGAGAAATGGAATTCAAATACACTCAAGGTATTAAATTTAGAATAATGTACCTGCTTATAAATACTAAGACTTGCATTAACCAAGTTTATTCCTACTTATCAATCAAAAGAGGAGTATGTATCAAGTCAGGCAATTTTTATTTATTTTATTTTTTATTTTATTTTCTTTTATTTTTGAGACAGAGTCTCACTTTGTCACCCAGGCTAGAGTGCTGTGGCATCAGCCTAGCTCACAGCAACCTCAAACTCCTGGGCTCAAGCAATCCTCCTGCCTTAGACTCCCGAGTAGCTGGGACTATAAGCATACACCACGACACCCGGCTGATTTTTTCTATTTTTAGTAGAAAAATAGAAAAGCTCTCGCTCAGGCTGGTCTCAAACTCCTGACCTAAAGCGATCCTCCCACCTCGGCCTCCCAGAGTGCTAGGATTACAGGTGTGAGTCACTGTGCCTGGCCAAGTCAGTCAATTTTTAAACATGAGTAGTGGAGACCTCAAATTTCCCTCAAACTTTGACGTAAAAAAAACTTTAAAAGCCCACATCCGAATTACCGTGGATCTAATTTAAATTTTATATATATATACATATATACACACACACACACAAATTTTGATGAACATTTGATTACTCACTTCCACTTAGAATTTGAATATGTAAAGTTACTGTATATACTCTCAGAATTATTACAGCTGGGGTCAGCAAACTATGGCCTCTTGGCCAAATTCAGCCCACCACTTATTTTTGTAAATAAAGTTTTACTGGGACACAGGCATGCTTTTTCCTTTATGTACTGTCCACGGCTACTCTCATGATGCAATGACAGAAAAAGTAGTTGCAACAGAGACCACAAAGCCTAAAATATTTACAACTGGCCCTTTATAGAAAAAGATTTCCAACTTCTGATATAAACAATTATTAAAATGTATGTAATATAAATTACACTTTAAATTTGTTTGGAAATGAAAGAGAAATACATGTAGAATTAAAATTATACATCAACCATAACAAATTTATCATAAAAAGAAAACAACAGTAAAATAAGTCCCAAGAAGACATTTTATCTAGCTTTGATTCAGATGAAGAATTTCATCCTATTGTAACATATAGAATATATATATCTTAATGCTATGGAACTGATATAGTCAAGAGTATATACATAAATGCCATGGAACTCTTCACTTAAAAATGGTTAATTTTATGTCATGTGAATTTCACCTTAATAAATTATTTTTAAAATAAGAGTATATACAGTATTTTACAAGTTTCTACCTTTAAGTGGGCCACATCATAGTACAGTTGTTAAATATGTAAGTTACATCTTACCTAATAATGTGGTTTCTCCAAAATCTCTTAGATCATCTCAGACCCTTGTGTATATTTCTTCTTTGCCAGTAGATGGAGACAACACCACTGAAAGTTTAAAAGACATCATTCCCTGTTTAAAGGGAGCTTGCTGGTCTGAAAACTGGGGGAACCCTAACCCAAAGATTTCTTCAGTTATTTTTTAAAAGGCAGACAGAATGGCTAAGCCAAAACCAGAAATCCAAGGGAATGTACCCAATACTAACTATGGATATCCTCAAAAATTTACTAAAGAGGAACTATATGATATAGTAACTGAATCATGTTAAAATGCAGTCATCTCTATAGCTTGTAAGATTCAAACTGCCTGCTCATTGCTCCTGTTTAGGCTAGATCATTTATTTTCAGTTTCAGAAAGTATAACTCAGAATATATAAAAGAGTTCCTTGAATTCCACAGGTAGACGCAGTACATATATATAGTTTTTAAAATATTAATCATATGCACTGCTAAAAGACTTTTATTCAAAACAACACAACCAGATCCACGTGAAATAGTAAGAACTTTAAAAAGTGAGTTAAAGTAGAAATGGTAGAAGCAATAGAAAAAAATTCATAGTCATACTGAAAAGAAACACTCATGTAGGGGAAGAATCAAATTTATCTACTTTCCAAGTTTCTTATTTCACTATTAAAAATTATATAAACAGAGCAAAAACCACATATAAGAAATAAATTTCAAACCTGGAAGCTTAAGAAGTCATCTCAAAATCATTATTTACCTATATTTTTCACATAACAACTTTCCAAATTCAAAGCCCTAAAGCCATTGCTTTCAAAT